CCAATTAAATTAATATTTATTTCCTTGAATTCTTCTATCAGTTGTGTATCAACTTTTATTGTCACTCAATAAACCACAAACGTTTCATATTCAACAAATTATTTTATTCGTTTTAAATGTCTCTCTATTTATAAGCTGAGTAATTTTCAATTGAATCAATAAAAAAGGTGTTAAGAAAAATTGTTCGTATATATACTCGTATATATACTAAGACTTTTGGCGGGAAAAATTGGACCAGTTTGCACAGAGTTTCCCTTGACAACTTTTTCGGCAAAAAAAAAATCAAAATGGTCCGGAAAATTATGTTTCGTTTCTTTTAACTGAAACTCTGACTCGACAATGTCTATCTCTAGCCTATCTTTTTTTTTTTTAGACTTCAGTTCTTTTCACGAGATTATGTGTGGTAGTTTGATTCCTAACAAAAAATCATCATGGCAAGCAATGGAGCGCGTCCGATAAGAAATCTTTGATTCATCTCCAAAATTGTCATAAATTTCAAAATTCCAAGTTTGTTTGTAACCCAATAGCTTGCCATGACGTTTTTTTTTTTAGAGTAAAAGATCTTAGAAGCCGCCAGTTTTCGAATGTAACACAGGACACAGGTAAAAAAAGAATGGACCTAAACATTTACCAAAGACTAAGAGCAAATTTTCCAATTCAAAAATTCCTATTTTTTACTAAATTTCCATGAAAAATATTCTGAATTATTGGAGCATACTCATTGAATTGATGTTAGTCACGAGAGCTAAGACATTTCACAATTAGGTTCCAATTTTCTTTTACTAACTTACGGAACGTTAAAAAATGTCATCAATTGTTGGAACAAACTCTGATTTAAACTGTAAAAAGTTACAAAGTTGGAGCGAACACTTTGATTTTTCGCCTTATCAAAGGCTATACCATTTTTAAAACAATTAAAGTCCAATGTTCCCAAAGCTAGATTCAAGAAGTAAATTTGAGAAATGAAATACTATCAATTGTTGGAGTAGACTTTAAGAGTTCAATTTTGGCCAAAAAGGAGCCAAGTTATTCACGGTAAATAATTCTTGCTGCGAATTGATCCAAGAGATTTATTTTTCCTTTATGTATTCCTGTGTTACACCGAGTGACGACACAAAAGATCTTCCTTCCATTTACAACAAGAAGTAAACAAGCTCACTATTAACTACGTATACGATATATTTTAAAACCAAATGCCTGGTCTGAAGGGTAACAAATAATCCTTTGATCCAATGCAACATAATTTACAAGATTTTTGGACTACCTAGAAAGTTTGTATCTAAGAAAAGATATTCTATAAAAACCATCGAGGTAAAGGAATCATTAGCTTCTCAAAGCAGGACACAATAGACTCATTTATTTTCAATAATCTTTAATTTGAATACAACTAATTTGCATTTCCGGTTCGCAGTTCGTTTTCGTAAAATCGACGTCCTTTCTGAACAAATTTCGATTCTAAAATAGGCAAATATGTTCATAATTCCTTAAATTTCCATGAAACTTGTCATTAATATTTAAGAGCATTCAACAACAAAACATGACAACTGCTTTGATTTGGTAAACTATCAAATTTGTTTCATTTGCAATTCTGAACCTAACATTTGTCTGGAGTAACGTGTTTGACCAAAATCAAAAATTGTGAAAAGCAAATAAAAATGTAGTTTTCTCTTTAGTGCAGGACAATTATGATCTTGAATCATGACGAATATTCGTCAGTAGCCTTATTTATCAAATGACACGTTCGGCCTCACTCGCGCAATCCTAGAGGAAACCATAGTGAAAGATGGAGTGTGAAGGGCCGGACAGGATTACGTGAGCAGTTCTAGAAAAAAGCCGTCCGGCCCTAGTACACTAGTATAACTCTGTTGAAAATTAAATTAAAAAGCATTGGTCGCTGTTGTTGCAAGAAATGAGGAAATAAGTCATGTTTTCGATGAATTGTAAGTTTCTTGTTCTGACTTGAAAAATTAAAGGAAAAAATTTTTTTGTGGTTTTCTAGTGCACAGCCAAATATTTTCCCGCCCGGCCCGGCCCTGCTACTCAGTCAATAGTTAGGTACTATTGTTTACTGGTAAAAAAGATTGGCTCGTATGTACAAGTTGATTTCGTCCAATTTGTAAACTATTCCCAACGATTTGCGAAAAAATTCACCATCTTAATTTAGATCGAATAAATTCTCCTTTAAAAATGAAAATATGATTTCTTCGTCGTAAAAAGGAGTCAATTCAAACTGGTTTATATGGCGGTCGGTAAATTTCAACTTGTTAAGATCGAGTTCGCGAAAAAGCTCGTGACCAGGCATTAGAGTGTTAAAATATATATTTCTTTTAGACGGAAACCGAACCCAGTTGATGGCACAAAGTAACGGATATGATCCAAGATGGCACTGTACTAAATGCTTGTTTCGTGTATAAAAAAACAAATGCTTCCCTATTTGAGCAAAATATCCTTAATTTCCAGTTTAATTCAGTTCACGCCAAAAATGAATTTTCAATTATATCAATATAGTCAATTAACTTTGTCTCTTGACATCATTCAGTTGTCAATCGTGGGGTTGGTCAGTTTTGCTGTAAAGTGGTTGTCAGACTCAAATGGCGTTCGTCCGTTGATTAGTCAGTTGTGACCAGTCGGTTAGGTTAGTTTCTTGTTTGGTCCGTTGGTGACCGCGTTAGTCTTTTTTAAGTTGTTTGTAAGACGCTGATAGTTGGTGCTACCTCTTGTCTGGACTCTTCTTTAAGTTAGTAAACTAGCTTTTCAAAGTCCGTCTTTGAAGATGTTGCAAGTCGATGGTGTTGAACAATGTCATTTTTGACGTAAAAAAATTAGGAAATTCAAAGGGTTTCAATTTTGAATTCTCTTTTGTCTTTTTCCGGTCGAAGTATTTTATTGGAGTGCCACCTTAATATCACCCTTGTGTGACATCAACTGCGATATAACTGTGATACTAACTGTTGAACACACAAAAAAAGCGATCAGAGCTTCGAAATTGATGATCTAAGTGTCAGCATTCCGTAGCAAGGATTATTATTGTAGTTTCCATTCCGTAGCCAGGATTATTATTTTAGTTTCCAAATATCTCAGTCTGATTCGATGCAACGAGATCATTTGAGATAAATTACACCAAATTATAGTGGGTAGTTCACACACACACACACAAAAAAAATCAAATGATTGCTCAGGGTCTGCACAACAATCAGTAACAACAAAATATTCCAAAAATGGTGGCTAATTGAACTATTCGCTTACCACGTAATCAATGTTTGATCCATTCCAAGACAATTGGTGAAAGAACGAAGACTTACGGAACAATTATTAAATATAGAAGGAGCCACCATTTTTGCTAGTATTACTAAATAATTTAAAAGTTCTTATCTTTGTGCATGAAGTGTCCACTAAAAACTCAGTGACACTCCAAAGTCTTCTCTTAACCAGATTGTTAGTTCTAACATCCTTCTGGCAACATTGCTTTTCTATTCCTGAAAGTAGGAAAAATTGAGGGAATCAGAGAATGATTACTTTCCAAAAGGACGATAACTAAAAATTGTTGTTTTACTCTTTGACACAGCTAAATAAACAGGAAAATCATCAAAAACCTTTTATCAATCATTATTTACAACCAAGCAAATGCCACAGAGTAGAAGCGTGAGCCGTCACACCTCTACGTGGCTGCATTCAAATACAAAACGAATTCCTCAATAGATTTTGGAAGCATGCAAAACATTTTCATTCGAACGTTTCACTAAAATATTTTACAATCATTGGCCTGCTTTTCTCGAAACCAACACCCTAATCCGCAGTGCAATTCCGAGTTAAAAAACCGCTCAGACCGAGCAACTGATTCGTGCTACGTCGTTGAACTGAGGTAGTACGACTTGTTTAGATCTCTGAAGGTGCTTGCGGCGATATTTTCCAAAAGCAATGCTCACCTGTTCACGTTGTTGCATAAGAGTGCTTCGATTCGTTGCTCTTCTTTACAGGTCAAGTGCCTTCTTCCTTCCAGAGCGTAACGTTATGTTTGGCACAATGGACGGCACGTCCTCGCTTTACGACAGACAGCGCGGTTTGCTGCAAATTCAGCATCTACTGATGAATATGGATTAACAACTGCAGACAATAGTCGGCTCCTACGTCACAGGTTTGGCGCTGAGTTCTGTTTGCACGCTCAGCCAGATAATCAAGAATTCACTGCTAAATGAAAGGGTCTGAAAGGCATTGTGAGTGACAGACTGCATGTGACAAGAGGAAAAAGTTCACGGCTATGTGAAAAAGAAATTACTCTTACATTCGAAGAGCAAATTTTGAAAGACTGATATCATTAAAAGCAATAAATCTCCGTAATGAACAAATAAATATTTAAGGCCTCAGTTTGAAATTGCGCGAATTTGAATAGGGAGCAAAGATGAGGAACACGCGATGAAATTTACCAGCGAAGGAGAAAAATAAGAAGACATTAATGCTTTGTTACTCCTCGTGAAGGAAAACAAGACTGAAAATAAGCAAAAGGAATTAAAAGTGCTGACATTCTATCAAACAAGGATAAAGGACGATGGATACTGAGTTAATTTGTATTGGCTAAGTGACCGGCCACATCCCGCATCGGGCTGCAGTAGTCCTAGGAAAAAATTCTGAGTCCCCAGATGTAATCGAGCCTCAAACAATCGTGTGTTTACCTGCCGGCTTTTCTTCTCTCCGTGTTTATTTTTTTAACCAAAATAAGGGGAGGCGGAATTAAAAAAGTCGGCAAAAAAAAAAGGAAACAAAAAAAGTCCGCAAGCGCTGCGCAGAACCCTGAAAGCAAAAGTTGAAGGGAAGTTTCATGCCCTCACTCCAAATTTTTTTCCCACTTATTTTGGTTTTTGACGCGCGCGTTGGACTTGGCAGAAAAGCAGCGACTGCTCGTTGTCTACTTTCCAAAGGCAACATGCCAAATAAGTAGTTGAGATGTATCTCACAGTTCCAACTACTTTAGGATTTTCATGTAAAACCACACACAGTAGACCAGTAGACATGTTTGTTGTTTTTATTTATTGCAGCCTTGGTACCCATCTTTGCACTCTGCCCGAGAGGTGCAGTACAAAATCATAAAGAATACGAGCTCTGCGAAGACTTGTAAACTAAGCTTCCACATCACAAAGCATGTTACACAGTAGAAATCCATTTGATGCTTTGAGACCTGCATCCAAATTTGTTTCCATTACCACAAATTGATGTAAAACTTACAAATTGCAACTTGTGACCTCATTTACCAAATCTACACCAAAGAACATTGATATCAAAATTAACTCCTTTTCTTTGGTCAGTACCTTCTTACTCAGGCCAAAAACATCACTAATCTACAATAATATCTTCCTCCCATTTTTTTGTTCCACGAAATGTGCATACATGTTTGAGTATGGTTTACTACACTACATTCTTGTTTATGTTCTCTGGCATTCCACAGAAGATGTTCTAGTTGAAAAAAAAAAACAAAAGAAAACAAAAAACAAACAAACTATAAAAGCCTTGCATAGTATAAGCTTGAGAAATGTAGAGACTGAGTTTAGTCATCGCATTCCAAAACCAGAATACATCACTCTTGTTAGAGTGAGGTGATATTTCAGTTGTCTACATTGCTTTAACACACACTCCTAAAACTTCCATTCAGAATAAAATCAGTGATGTGAGTTAGTATCATCAGTGTCCATAAATCCATCTTGTGATATTTCTGAAGAAGCATCAGAAGCTGGAGAAGAGGGAAAGGAATAAGGTGATGCAGTTCGGTGAGAGGGTCCGCTGTCACTAGCCATGGATGATGTTCTTGAGGTACGACTCCGTGTGTGGCTGGTTGTCACGGGCACAGGTGAAGTTCCATGTCCTTGAGCCAAGGGGGTGGCCAGAGGCGATGAAGGTGTGTTTGGGGCTGGAAGAGGTGACATTCGTGTAGTGGCTGCTACCAGTGGAGAAGCTGAACATCCCAAGGATTTACTTTGAAAAATAAAGAAGTCAAACAGGTTTTTACCTCTCCTCACTCAAAACCATAAAGCCCACACAGAACCACATGTTTTAGGTTAATTCCAACCACCAAAATACACAACGGGTTATCAAAGCCTTTCTCCAAGTCTACAACACAATTTCACTCCAAAGTGTGACCAATAAATAATTTCTCCTTACAAAATTATTAACATATCACCAGGCAGTCAGGTGATGACAAGAAAGAAAGCTATGAAAAAGATAACACTGATTAAACTCTAAATCCTCAGAACTTAAACCACTAGCAATGTTTGGAAGAGGATAACAAGAGTTTATGTTGAGATCTCATGAGCGAAAAGATCAAATCATCATCATTACATACTTAGGAGTTGCATGATTGCCCAGTGCTCCAGCAAGTCCAACTGGACCAGTTTTTGCCATATCTACAAAAGAAACAACACATTGGTAAGGCCTTCCATGCCAATTTTTTTTTCCCAAGGAGGCACAGCGACGAATCTTGAATCTGATTGGATCTTGGCATGGTGAAAGTAATGACTATGTCTACCCATGCACACTGTTTTTTTTTTGTTTTCTATTCTTATTTTTTATGTAGGCTTAAGAGAGAAAGAGAAAAAAGAAAAAATATCTATTTGAGGGCTTAGGGTCAGTCCCTTAGAACTTGGAGTTGACAACAATGCTGCCCTCCACCATGGAAATTTCAAGACCTTTAACTGCAAAGAACCTTCAGGAAAAGGTACTTGTGTATTAAAAAAAATAATAATAAAAAAAAAAAATAATAATAATAATAATAATAATGATAATAATATATGCATATTCTAATCCTTCCTTAAATGTAACACTTCAACTAACAATGTAGCAAGATCAATTTCCTACAAAGTTTCCTTTGCTGACCTAAGAAAAATTATCATGACCAACATGTCTTGCCCGAGAAGGACATTTAGTGCAAAATTACAAGTTCACACTGCCTGCAAATTCACTAATTGTTGATATAAACATAGCAGCACAACTGCTAAGCCTGAATTTGAGCAGGCATATACCGGTAACCAAACAGATTGACAAATTGATGACTGTCAATCAAGATCTAATTGACAAAATATCTTATTATCAAGGCAATCAGATGCTAATGACAGCTTCAAATACATAAAGCTGAAGAGTATAGCAGGCAATGTGGATAAGTTGTTGTAACAAAAGCTTTCCACAATCTTACCTGTGACGTAAGGCTCAAGTGCTTTTGGGACCATCGTTCTTGAGGTTCGGAGGTTTGCCTCAGCACATTGTCCTTTTTCCAAACCAAATGCCATACCCATTCGTTTTAGAACCTCAATGTCATCATGGATTTCAAATGTGTTGTCAAAGTTGAACAGATACTCAGATCTAAAGGGGAGAAGTGAACAAGAAGTAGCTGATAATTAATGTCAGAGATTGAGCCCAAAGAAGACATCATTGTTTGGGTGAATAGAAAAGGAAGATGTGAAAAATTTGCACATTAAGAATATCTATATCTAGATCTTAAGATTCTTACAGTTATTGTTGCTTGGACACTTTAAACCAAACTAAATTCACTGATCATGACTCACAGGTAGGCCACCAAACTTGCTAGGTAGTCTAATCTTCCAAAGCTTCTACCAGTCTCCATAAAATCAAGCAACTACATTTGAAGAAGTAACGTTCATTTCCATGGATGGGATACTATCAATTGCAGCTCCCCCCTAACCCCCCCTTCCCCCAACATCCCATGTACTTGTTTCCCTTGCAGTTTGTTGTTATCAAGTTATACTCCTGGGCCCAATTGTTCGAAGGCCAATTAGCGCTAACCCAAGGTTAAAGTGCACCTACACCCAAAAAATTTTTTTCCCAAATCTTCAATTTTCTATGCCCAGTCAAAATACGGAAAATCGGCCGCCATCTTGCCCCACGACCGAGTTTAAAGAAGAATGGCTCTAGCGGGTAATGTGACGTCAAATCGAGAACACGAAAGTCTGCATCTCACACATTTTCACTTGTTTGGGAAGATTGTCGTCGATATCGTCCGAAATATGCCGACTAGGTGTGTTGTATGAAGATTGTATGGAGCGCGATACCCTCTTGCAAATTTCGCACGTTGCTACATCCTTCTACAACACACTTAGTCGGCATATTTTCGGACAATTATCGACTACAACCTTCCCAAACAAGTGAAAATGTGTGAAAAGCAGACTTTCGTGTTCTCGATTTGACGTCACATTACCCACTAGAGCCATTCCTCTTTAAACTCGGTCGTGGGGCAAGATGGCGGCCGATTTTCCGTATTTTGACTGGGCATAGAAAATTGAAGATTTGAGCAAATAAAAAAAATTTTTACGCAGAAATACTAAAAAAAATAAGCTTACTTCGTTAAGCGAAAAAAATTTTTTGGGTGTAGGTGCACTTTAAATTTTAATCCAGGTTTCTATATTTCTTTGTTCAAAAGCCATTTTGGGATAATTTTCCCAATTCTTTTTAGCTCAATCAATCATCAAATTGTACACAAGTGGAATTAAACTAAATTTTCTTTTAAAGTTTTCGGATCTGAAATCTAATTTCACACTAACCCTATGTTATTTTAACCCACCTTTGAACAACTCAACCCTGGGATGTGAGCAACACTGAACCTACTGACACAGCCAGTGCCCAAACACTGCTGGGTTCCAATGTGTTAAGCATCAAATGGCTACCTGGTCCATAGCCCATGTAATTACAAAACAGGAACATTACTTACTTGTCATTTGATATACTGCAGTCAATGACAGTCTTCTTGCTTGTGTTCACGATGATAAAAGGCAGATGAATAGCTGTGTTAGGAGCTGGGGAACCCTGATCCTTTTCCACTTGTTTGTTCCTTTGCACAAGATTCTTAAAAGCAATTTGCTGAAATGACATTACAAAGAAATTAGCATCAACATCAAGTCCACAGTTCCTCACACCTATAGGACTCATGTCCAGCATGAGGACAGCCTACATGTGGTAAATTCTCCTTTCCAGCTGTCATATGTTTCCTTGTAATTAAGTACCGAGAATTCAATATTACATCAAACTAAACACCATGAACTGTTCTATAAAGATTTCCTACAGTACTTATAAGAGAATTTGTAAAACAATTAAAAGCTCCAATCATTTCTTTTACTCTGATGACCTTAATGTTTGATTTAAGGGCGACACTGGGGTGAAAAATTTGATGCTAGTTACTCTTATGGCTAGAGGGGTCAAGGAAACACAACAATTAACTTTTTTTCTCCAGCACATACTTTTTGAATTCAATGAGTAACTTACTAAAATTCCCTAACGTAAAGATATTTCCTTTATTCAATGCATGCTTCATTTTTAAGAAACTGACCAAACGGAAATCAAGTTGAATTGAATGAAGAGAGTGTTTGTCACTGCACAGCCTCACCTGCAAGATCAGCTCCTGTAATTGAGCAGTCTTTTGTCTTATTCTTTCTTGCCTTTCCATTTTTTCTTCCTGAGATGATAGATTCTTTGTTAAGACTTTAACATAAGGGGGTTAATACATAATTATAGAATAGGATCCTTCGGTTCCCCAAGACAAACAAGTCTACATAAAAAATTCAATAGTTTGGTTTTCCCTCATATCTAAAATGCAAACATGACAAGAACACATGTAGTTTTAAACAAAGGGTCTTTACTTACAATACAGCGGTCAAACATTGGGTGTGTGCTAGGGGATCAATTGTGGTTGGCCATGTGCCAATTTCATGAAAATTTGTCTTGGAATGTAAATGAAAGAAAACTGGAACATTCATTGAAATCTGTACAAGAAAATAAAAGTAGGTAAAAGGAAAACTCAAGACTTTTCAAACACAAAGCTTTTTCCTGTTGATTTACCATTCTGTTTTGGGCTTTACCAAAATGTTGTACACTTTTAAAACACTGTAACTTACTGTTTTGTGCAGATTTTGGACTTGTCCTAGACAACTTGGTTTTAATAGCCTTAAAGCTTGCCATCCTAGTCATTATAATATTTGCACATTTGCAGCCATTCAATTTCTGTGTAAGCCATTTACCTCTAATTGTTGGCATTCCTGTGCTGAGTTTGTGGGCAAACCAACCCACTTAATTTCTTTCTTTTCTTTTGAAATGATGTTCATTGCCATCAGAACATTCAATGCATCATACACTCTTCTTCTGATGTTCTTCTGATCATAAGCCTTAACAAAAAAACAAACAAAAAAAAAAAAAACAGAAATGCCCAAACTCAACCTTCTTTTTCTTGTTAAAGGAATAGATAACTATACCAAACAAAAGCACTGACACTATCAGAGTTCTCTGACAGAGATCAAGCTGTGCTAAAAAATAGTTTGAATGGTCATCAACATTATCTTAGCTTTATACTATTTATTAGTTATTGAAACCAATCAAATTTTTGCATAATTTTATTGGCTACTTTACATCATAGAAAAATCCGAGCCCCAGATGGGACATGAACCCACGACCCTCCATGATCTAGTCGGATGCTCTAACCACTGACCTACTAGAGACTCTATGGTGAGCAAGGGTCAATTTGTGGGTCTCCAATGGAACTGCATCGCGTGGCTATACAGCCAAGTATTGGTAAGCTCCTGTGAAACTCACTAACAGCATCACGCTGTCACACTAAAGCATATCAAGATGCGGCCAACCAACCTCCAAAGTGAGCATGTAAAGATGAAACAATTTTAGTGTAACAGAAAAATCCTAGTCCCATCTGGGGCTCGGATTTTTCTATTAGACTAAAATTGTTTCATCTTCACTTTACATCATGTGGTGCAAAATTACTGGACAGTTATAGTACCATAACCCCCATTTAGGTTGACATTTGTCCTCCAGAGTGAAAGAGATGGCGAATTTCTTACATTTATCTCACAGGGCTCAACACTAACGGTAGCCCACTAGCCACAGACTAGTAGAAATTCAGCTTTGGCTAGTGGTTTTCAATTTCCACTGACCAGTTTGGCTAGCAAACAAACTGACATTGTCATAACATCTAAGATATCACTAGCCACTTGGCTAGTTAGTTCAAAAGTTACTTTTGAGCCCTGATCTCACCTATCTAAAATGTCTTCTATCTCAATAATACTATGATTACAATTAGCAAAATACCTGGTCTGTGGGTGACAGATGTTTGTCAGGATCACTGAACTCCTGAACCAATTCATCAGCAACCTGAAAAGAAGTTCAGTTTACATTTCTTACTTCAATGGCCACTCATCATAATGAACTGGTAACCAGTACAATGGCCACTCCTCATAATGAACTGGTAACCAGTACAATGGCCACTCATCATAATGAACTGGTAACCAGTACAATGGCCACTCATCATAATGAACTGGTAACCAGTACAATAATGAATCAATTTGCAAAATTCTTAACCCTTTAACTCCTAAGATCAGATTTTCAATTCTCCCCTCTGGCTGCTACATATTTCCTTGTAAATTAGTAACAAGAATTTGGTGTTAGATCAAGGTAACAACTTCTACCTGATAAGTTTAAGTATTCTGGTTACGTATTTGCTGGATAATGTATGGACAGCATAAGGTTAAGGTAAATGTTAATCACTTCTGGGAGTTAAAGAAAAACCAAAATATCATATTTCCTTGATTAAGCATCCACACTCTGATAAACTCCCTCCCCCAAATAAGCACTCAATCCCTTTGCCATAATAGGGACCTTGACCAGTCAGGACGGCAACGCCAAGGAAGACTTTGATTAAAAAATGAATTTCTACTCTTAGTTAGAATTTCAAAAATAGCTGCATGAGCTTACTGTCTCATGCGGCACCACAGCTCAACTTCAGTATGACATATAAAAGTAGCATTGAGTTCCAAATGGAAATTAAAATATTTGCCGTCGCGGTTTCGGCTCACAGATGACGCAAATTTTGGCGATTTCAGGTTGTTGTTTTGCATAGGACGGCTAAGAAATGTACAAAGTTTCAAAATGCACGTGCTGAGCTATTGTTCTGCCAATTAGATCTCTTGTTTTTCCACATCCTCTTTGCCATCGCTGTCATGGTTGCTTAAGGTCCCTAATGTCAAACAAGCGCCTCTCTTGTATGAGCTCCCCCTTCTCCTAAATGTTTAGGGATAAAAGGAAAATTTGCTTCTATAGCTGCTTTATTTATAACTTTTAAAGCTTAAACTACAGTGAAATAGTTTCTTTATGAGGGCCATCCACCACTGGGCACCCTTCTTTCAATAGACACCCCTCCTCTAGGCCTCAGATTAACACCCAGTTGCTTATTTGGGGAAATACCTCTGTATTTTATAGCAATTTGCAACACCATTTTAAACAACATCTGCTCACTTTTTAGTTAAATGCGTTACATGTGATTACCTCATTGTAGGATGTGGTTCTCTTCTGTTGAACTTTCTCACACACTTTCATGGAGAAATGTCTCAACCCTTTTCCACTTTTATCACCTCCTGAGCGACCTGCGCTTGGTAGTCTTTTGCCTCGTTTTCTGGGTAGGGATAAAATGTTAATTCAAAGTATGCCTCCAGAAACTCACAAAGAAAAAAATCAGTCTGTAAAACTCATAGATTCTAAACTTTCAAAAAAAATAATAAATCTCATGATGGCAGTCTCAACCTTGTGCAGAATTTTCCTGCCCTTAACTAACCAAACACATGGATACTTGGAAAGAAACTCAAAGCTGTATCAATTCATCGGAAGTGTAGCTATTTCTATTGATGGTTTTCCAAACTGTTTATTAAGTGCTGGAGAGCTAAATTTTCAAATCCCTGAGCTATTTTTCAGGCAAATGAGGAGGAAATCCTCTCGTTCTTTACATCATTCTGCAACTCTCTCTTTTTGTTCTTTGCATCATTCTGCAACTCTTGATGAATAGTGAATTGTTTATTCGATACCTTATTAAAGAAAGGTAGCAAATTCTCCTCAGTTATTTTAAGACCATGAGTATCGGTCCGGCCAGGGCTCGAACCCGCGACCTCCTGCACAACACAATCTGGCGCTCTAACCAATTGAGCTAACTAGGAGGCTATGAAAACCCTGTTTCATCTCTAACCTTTCTGCACTATCTAAGAGGTCATTATTTTCCATGCAATCCATTCTTCTCTTCTTTCCACTGTTTGGAGTTGTGTTTACTCTACAAAAACAGAGAAAACAGTTGTTGTCATACACTGAATGTAAAGATGGCGTCCAATTTGAATTGCCATTGTTCTGGACTCACTAGCCTCGTCTTCACATGGAAACACAAAAGGATTATTACATGTGTGAGAGGCTAGTGAGTCCTGAACAATGGCAACTGAAATTGGACACCATATTTGCATTCGGTGTATATCATCACTTATTTACCCCATATGAGAACTTGAATACTCAAGTTCAACCATATTATGTACATATATGGAGAAAGGGCATTGTTATGCACTTTATCACATGACCATTATGAACCCAACAGGCACAATCCTAAGTAAAACCTTTATGAATGGATGGCTATCTTGTCACATACTAGCACAGCTGTTGACAGCTGTTAATTCTGAACTTGAACTTAAAATAAGACAGAAATGAGTCACATCTTTTTTTGTGTGGGTTTTTGTTCATACATTATTAGCCACAGAACTCACAGCACTTAGTTCCAACACAACAACCTTAAGCTAGAGATTTTCCCATCTTGCCCTTCCATTAAGTCATTAATTACATGATATTTTCTTTGCCCTGAGCTGTTGAATAATGAGAATCATGTTAGCAAGGTTCCAAACATAACTAGATTTTTTTTTCTTAAAAAACGGTTGGTTTTATCAGGTTTCTTCTTTAACAAGTATCACTTACCTTGTCCACGAAGCTGTTGCATTTGCTGGCACAATCGGAGCAGCAATCATGGTTGGTGTGCTAGGACTTCCACCAACAGCAATAACTTGATGTGACCCAGGAGAACCTATCACCTAAAAAAAGAAAAAACCCAAGATTTAAAATTGTCTTTCATCTCAATTGCAAGAAAAAAATAAAAAAAATTATATAAGATTTTGCAAGCCTATTTGCAAATCACTTTATAATCAAAGTTTATGTCTGATTCTGGGGCATTGACAGGGTTCATACACTTCTGACCTGTTAAAATTCCATGACTTTTTCTATGACCTTTTAAAAGATTCCATGACCTGTTTGCAAACATCCTCACAATGCGTGCTTCTGTTTATTTCTAATGAAATTAAATCTGATTTTTGGACTCGTCAGTTAACTTTTCAACTTTGGGTCTTATTGCCTTTCACTCATAGAGAGCATATTGATTTTCCATGACCCACACCTAAATTTCAAGACTTTCCAGGCCCAAAAAATGAAATTTTGAAACTAGATGACTTTCCAGGTTTTCCATGACCTGTACGAACGCTGATTGACACTTCATACCTAGGAGTGCCCAACAGGGAATTTCTCCACATATATCCATACATTTCCAAGTAGAAAGATGACAAGAAGACAGAAAAAGTGTAGTCTAAGGGAAATTGTTTGATTTCACAACAAATTCTTATGGACAACATGATTAGAAATGTATAGCAGAAAGTGAAGAGAATTTCTGCTTGGATCTCTGGAATGAAAGGGAAAGTGGATAGGAGGTATTGTTCCTCTCCCTACCCCTCACAGATCATTAGTACCTGTTATTAATGCTCCCAAGTGGAGAGGGGTAATGTGAGATTTCCCTGCACCAAATCACAATAGCCTAGTCAAGGCTTAAATCTGAGTTTCTTGATCTCTAGTTTCTTGCTAAGTAACTACAAGACCAAACCATCTCCCCCAAGAGGACAAATTCAGGATAAAATTTTACTAGTCTGCATCCTTTGAAATAACATACAAGATATAAAGCTTTCTCACCATTGCTGATGGGGCAGTATTTGATGTCTTGGGTAAAATAACAGGTGATATTTTGGCTGTTGTCACAGGCATCACATTTGAGCTGTTTGTCGGTCTTGCTACATCAGCTTTTAAAAGAAGGACAATAGATTCGCGATCTCATTATATCCTTTAATTTGCCATCCCCCAGTAGATATCCCAATGCATTCCAGTTATAAGAATGCCTTATCTTATTTAAACACGAAAGCGCACTATAAAAGGAGCCTAGGTCCCACTGGACCATTTGTCAATCAACGGTCTTGTGAAGTAGAACTCTTGGAGTCAAGTCAGCTTGAGCTACAGCTAATCTAAAGCAGTGAACAGTGGGCACATTCCTCAAAATTGTTCTATGTCTTCATCACAATACAAGAATTTTTGAGATTTGTATTCTCTAATGGAAACTGTCTTTATTTGTGGTGGTAAATTTGAGATCGAAGTAGGTGGTTCGCATGTTACCTCATGCCACCATGCTGGTGGAAGGAAACAATAGATATCTCATTGGCTCCTTTTGTCTGTCTACCAGCATTTAAATTTGACCCGCACACGTCAAGGGTGAGTAACAAATGAGCCTAGGTCTTCCCAGGGAAGACTTCCTTATATAGCGCACCTTCGTGTTTAACTAAGGAGGTATGTATATTGAAAATGCATAGCGGAAAAAACACAGAAAAGGACGACGACAGGAAACACCTCATTCCAGTAAGTACAGGGCACATCTTACTGAAATTCCCTTTCAATGACAGGATATAAAAGCTCTGTTTTGCAGATGCTAATTCTATTAAACAATCACAAAGGCCAGAGTGCCAAACATTTTCTTCACCATTTCACTCCTTCGAGCAACTGGAACAAATTCTTCCTAACAATGTCAATGCATTTTCAAAGAAATATTCCATGAGAAGGAAAAAAATACGAATGAGGGGGAAGTTCTGAATTCTTTGAAATCTTAGAGCTGACATTATATCAAATGTATGGCAGATTGTGAAGTGAATAGAAACTTTGTTCTGGGGAGTTAAAGGGTCAAACTAAACCTTGTACATATGAATACATGCACTGAACTACAGCACCCAAGCTCTCAAAGTGATTCTCTCAACTTCCGCACTGAATTATTTTGCAGAGGGAAATCCTGACACAATGCAACAAAAAACTGAAAAAATTCGAATTTCAGTTTTGATCAAGGTGTGCCACTGTGCCAGCTTGATCAAAACAAGCTTATTTCATTTGCAATGTAACAAGAAACAGGAACCTTCAGATGAAAAAAAAATTGGCAACAAAGCCTACAAAATTATGCGATATATAATTCAGTCACTTTTTCCTACTTTTCCCAAATGAGGTCTGCAAACACAAAACGAAGTTTGATGACTTGTCTCCAAGAAAGATATACTCTGCCCAGGAATTCTAACTGGACAATCCACAAACACGTTTGCTCACAAAGATATTAGTACCACTTTAACAGAATATCGGGTGAACCAATGATAGAAGCTTGATCAGTGTTAATCTAATCAAAGATAACAATTCTAAGCCCACGATCCAAAACCATGTGATCTGTGTCGAGAAATTCTATCGAGCGGAGATGAAATCTTGTATTAATATATATAAATAAGAGACAGGTCCGGAAAAAAAGAGATTCGCATTCGAGTGCCCTAAATCAAACCCAAAATCCCAAAGCAAACAAAAATCGCAAAACTAACAATTTACTCTTGGATGAGAGGTGGAATCTTTCAGTCCATCTAGAGTTCCGTTGTTGTCTATTACGCCAGCCTAGCAAAGGAGGAAAAGAAGATAGGATTAGAGTGTGAGCTGCGATTTGATGGGGGAAGTATGCTGTTGAAAAAATGGAAGCTCAATCTCAAAGTTGTGCGTGCAAATCATTCAAATCGCCCAGACAAAGAATGAAAATGATGCGGTGAAATTTCATATACAATCAATCTTGGCCTGAAAGCGGACTGAGGGTGAACTAGAAGGGTCATTGACAAGAAGAGCTTTGGAAATATATCATGAATTATAAATTGCGATGTTAGAAGCTATCCCGGAAAAGTGTGAAGATATTTAGCACTAAACTTTTCCTCGAGCACTGAACTATTCCAATCGCCATGGTACAAGTGTAACTAAGTCACGAGGTGTTTGAGCTCGAGGGGAAGTGTTTCCTACCTCTCGGGCCAAAGGTTCAAGTCCGCTATCTTTGTAAAACTTCAAGAAATCTTCTGAAACCACTGTTGCGTCCCGATTCCCAACTCCTTTCACCGGAGTAGCCGGGTTACTTTTCACTGGGCTTGGTTGACCTACAAGCGATTTGAATATTCAAGAGCTTTCATCAGAAAAGGATAAAAACTCAATTTACAATTAAAGGAAAGCGTTCCTTGAGCCCAGCGAGTTGGCAGAACAGACGAATAAATACATTCTCTAAGTTACAAGGTTTTCGATGAAATCGATGATGAGCAACACATCAGTTCCGAAGTGAGTTCGAGATGTGCTAACCTGGCTTAAGGAAAGATGAACGCAATAAGGATCTTTTCACAACGAAAAAAACAAACACGTGTATAAAAGAAAATCGGAGGATACAAACCTTCTATCCACAAGCTTGTGAGTGTGGCTGTTGGATTCGACATCGGTAAAATCTAATTTGAAGTTAAACCTCTCACTACAGCTCGAAAAGATCGCATGGGTGATTCCTGTACCCAAATTTGCGCAAGACTAAAAGGCTGAGATGAGAGAGCCTCGTCGAAATCGCGAAGTTGATCTCCGTCTGATTTCTACGCGATCGCTCGGAAACTACGAGGAAATGCAATATTTACCGCAAGATCGCTTAACGAGGCATGTTTTGGGGCTACTTTGGCAGAAATCAAGCAAAAGTTTCTTAATTCCTCGCTCGAGCGGACATGTTTTTGCACCGACTTGAGGCCCTGACAAACGATCTTCGCGGTGGGGTTTAATTTTGCCTTCTGATTGGTCAATCAATAACCACGTGGCTAATAGTAAAGCACTGCGCAAATGCAACATTCCACGCATTACTTCGCTGCCTCGTTCGCGGGAAAATTTTAGCCGCTTATGATTGGTCAGTGCAGTTATGGAGGGAAAACTGTCCCTGATATTTCCTTTAGCTTTCCTTTAGAGCGAACATTTCCGTTTTTTTCTAGCATGACTTTCATTTGTAGCAATTTTATATTACATCAGGGTACGGACTGCATTAATTACGTAAAAAGCATTCAAGCATTTAAATCAAAGGAAAAAAAAATAGTTTTCTCTCTTTAAAACAAAAATAGGCTCAACCCATTTCACGCTCGATAGCCAGTCAACTTAGAGAACCTCGTTTTGGAATATATAAGTGACACTGTCAAAAGATAAATATTTTTAGGAAGTGAACTCGCAGCAAACCATTTTCTCGACAGTAAAAGTTTCGTGTAGTTATTTCAACAAAAGAAAGACCTGTTGTGTTTTTCTATATAATTTCCATCGCTTAAACATCTTCCTTCCCACAACAAGCAAATCGATGTCTTACTCTATCTGCGAACGTGCCACACCGCAGGGTGAGCGATTCAAGAAAATGTTGTTTGACTTGTCAAATGAAATTCATCCACGCCCGTGTTTTCGCACTTGAATGAACTTCAGTCTTTCTATGAAGTAAGTTTAAATCGTTGAATAATTAAGTATTGTTTTAAAGTCCACCTTTTCAGTCCTTCGTTCGAAAACAATAATTAGTGATGTTAGAATATACTTCCAAGGTTATCAAACTTCTACTCCCATCTTTTGAGAAAAAGTAGAAATAAAACCTCTAACAACGAAGCTGACTAAATTGAAGAGTGACTGAACAAAAAGCTCGACACTATTGGGAAGATCTAAAAAAGAACTAGTCCTGAATAAGAAATAAACTCGTCCTTGATAAACAAGTATTGTGATGTTAATTCTTCGTCGAGACAGAGGTTTTCTGTTACCTTTTAATTTCGTACTCTACGGCATGCTCGGGCAAGCACGAGAAAATAATTGCTTGCACTAAATTTAAGTGAAAAAGCAGCAAAACAGAGCTGAAGTGAAAGACGCGCGAGATATTAGCGATGACAATACAAAGGAAATTAGAAAAATAAATGGTCGTGGTGAATCGGTTCATCAAAAAGGAAGCAAAGAGAAAACTGTATTGCTAATTTTTCGATTTGCACCTTTTTTTTTTTTACTTTTTCTCTGTCTCGTCACGTAATTATCATACACAAACCTTGTCAGTTGACAACAAATATTGACAATCCAGTTGTTGTTTTGTTTTGTCTTTTTTGCATAAATAAAACTCAGTCATGTAGTCCATCCACACACGGCCATCACTGTATTGCCTTAAATTGCGGAGTCGAAGTGAAGTCATCAAATGTATACTGCATTGTCTGGTTGGACTTGACTGCGGAGCGAAACTAATACAGCAAGAAGACAGTAGAAAAATGACGTTGAAATGGAGAAAGGAAAAGTAATTATAAGCGACAAAACTTATTGATTTCTTGGTTCGATTTTAGGACACTGCTGAGTGCGTCAGAGCGCTCTTATACATATTTTTCTTTTGTCATGGCTGAATAAATGTTTTCAGAGTGGAATATCCCTTTAGTCGACTACCGAGTATTGCTTCAAAGCTATGTAATCAGAAATCGAAGCTTTGTATCAAAGCTATGAAAGAGTTGTCAGAACGTGAGAAAACTGAATTGGCAACTGTTTAAACCCTCCAATGAACTAAATATCACACTATGTGTTGACGGATGTTGACATTTGCAATCCTCTTTGGATATATAACACATTCTTTTTACTAACGATGTGTAGGGAGAAATCAGGCGTCGATCGCCTTTGGAAGTGAAACCAAAAACTACTATGAGTTTACACAACCAGTAAAACACCACACTTTCGGGTAAGCCTCGAGGATCAATTTTGAGATATTTTATTGTTGCTCGATAAATAAATTATCATATAGACGTTTTGATGCACTGTCATATAGAAAAGTAATAAGAGTTTGGGACATAATCAACGGAAGGATAATTTCTTAACTCGCTACATGAAAAATGTATTATACTACAATGTAACTTGGTGAATTTTAATTCGTTTGGATCTCACAAAAGAACTGTATGACAGACAGTAAGAAGAATTAATTAAAACGATCTGGGGAGTGAAATAGTTAAGGAATTACTCGCATTTCTCGAGTCGTGTTCTCTCTGATCGACCGTGTTAACCACAATCGGTTTTGGTAAAGACGACTGAAGTGTCCCAATAATTCACTTTACCAACTTTTTTTGGTTGAATCACGGCAGCTCTTCGGGAGAGCTATTCAAGTATCCTCAATTTCTGTAGTTCACAGGGACACGAATGGATACTGGGACTCGCGCACATGCAGCTGTCACGCGAACACTTTCGTCAGTTGTTATTTAGCTTCTTTGTGTTCCCTGGTTCGTGTAGTCTTCCTGACCGACTCACCTCACCTTTTAGGGATTAGTCAATGTCTAGTAATGAATTCAGTGGACTTGCGACCGTGCGCTACGAAAGTTTTGAAAAATCCGAGCTGTCACGTTGAGGGAAGACAACATGGCAGCCAGTTTCCTTCGTGTTGGCCCCTTTCCACTTTGGAACTTTAACCCTTTGCACTCTAACATCAGTATGCATTTTTTCCATACCGTGCTCGATACATTTTCTAAGTTGTACGCTGGGAGAATTTGTCCAACAATCAAGAGCGTATTTAGTTGCTGGTCATTTTCTTTATTCTTGCGACCCTCGTGTGTGATTTAGGGTTGATGATGTAAAGAGAAACTGGATGTTGGTCACTCTTAGGGATTGAAGAGTTGAGAAGGCATCAAAGCAAACAAATCCGAATGGGGTAGACTGTCGTATTTTAGATTCTGAACGGATACCTCTTTTTTTTCGTTTATATAATATAACGTATACATAGATTCCTTCTTCTTTTTCTTCCATAGCCAGTGTATCAAACGCGTACGCATTATTGGTCGGTTTTGGTTTTGTTTACAGCGAGTGTTGCCAACGGCTAGAGGATGTTAGAGCCCAGGAACGACTTATAAAGCCCGCAAAAAGACAACTAAATACCCATGCCTTTTCAACTATATCAACCTTGCTTGGTGCTGGTTGAAAACGATTATCAACCAAATCAATCAAAAACAGATTTGCGCCAGTAACCCAATGAACCCGACCCACCTAAAATGATTACGTACAACAGAACGCACCTTGATGTCCAATCGGACTAAAATTGAGATAGTTTTGCGTGAGTTGGCAGCGAACGTTATCGGACAGTCCCTCCTTTTAGGCGAAGTCCGTCGCACGAGTACAAAAAAAGTTGGCGAAAGAGATTTAACGTTCCCGAAACCCTGTTTTTCATGCGCCTCACTCCCAGAGCTCTACGCGGCCCGCTACCATCGATGTTTCTTTTTTTTTTATTTTGCCGATTTTTTTTTTTTATTCGCGCGACACACATATCGCTGGAAAGGAAGGACAGTACTAGTCTAGTTAAATCTAATCATCTTGTACTGAAAATAACGACACAACAGCGTTGAAAAATCCGTTTGTTCGTGAGTTGATTTTCACTTGTTTAGGTTGGTATTACCAAAACTCTTACCTCAAGAATATCGGAGAAAACGAGACAAGCACGTTTTTTTTTAATTAGGTGCATTTGTGAATATACCTTTTCATTAAGCAGTTTTACATCCACTTAACAACATTTGAAAATAGCATACTAAACCTTTTCACGCGAACGACGCGTGAGTTATTTATCCTAAAATGAAAAACTCCACTTCAAGGTGGAAAAGCGATAAGAGGTAAGAGAAATATCGATCAGCTACAGGTAACACTGACTGATTCAACACAAAATTCTCTTTCCAAACATTTTAAGAATTGTATGGTAGACAGTTCAGAGAATTTAAATTTAGATCCAGAGACTAGAGTGAAAGGTCCAAACAACACTATCCATACATGTATACAAAGAAGTCCATTATGTAAGTGCACTCAATAGTTTTCGTGTTGCACGTGCCCGCGTGCATTAAATTCAGTTAAACCTATGATAATGAACATAGTATTATAAATGCTACAGCAAAGTGTTCATCAAAATGGCTGATAAGTGGCGGGATATTTCACCGGAAGACTCTCTCTGGTGAGTCGCGCACAATGTTCCCAACCAAGCTCCTCGAACAACTAAAACACAAATAAACAAAAACATGCTCATTGAATTTTTTTGTTGTTATTTTAGTGAAAGCTACGGCACTGTCATCAAAACGACGGCTACATTTAAC